TGGTAAAATATATAATTAAATATTAAATAAATATAAATACTTCTGTTTATTGTTTTTCTTTCTTCTTAGTAAACTTCAAGTACCTGAGTACTAGTCATTTTAAATTCTCGTCTTGTTCTTTTTTAAAAATACTTCTGATAGTGCAATAATTCTTGTGTTTATACGGATCTCATGTTACATTTTATATTTTCATTTTTACGTGGGATAAATTTATGTACGCATGTATCATTTAGAAAGCAGAAAAAACATATTTGTAAGTATGTCCCTTTAAATAAACTCACAAAAATTTTTATTAACTGGTCAAAAAAGGATACTTAAAACCTACTCCAAACGGTAGGCATCAAAGGGCTTAGTAGAGAACATGATGATTAGGCCCAAAAACCTATTTCTGATGAAATTGAGTAGGTGGATGAAGAAGCTTAATTAAAATGGAGGAAACTTCCTGCAAGAACGTATTAAGAAAGTTAAGGAGCTGAACACTGAGAATTTTATAGCTTACTTTCCTTTGAGGGAAAATGAGTGACGCTGTAAGAAAACATCTTAGGATTACACATGCATCTTTAGAAAAGAAAACCTCGTCCACAAGAAAGCAGGATGTAGACTGAGAGAATAGCTGACAGCAAGTTAAAAGAACCGGACAAGTGTATACAAAAGAAAAGATATTAGACAACACCCACAAAAAAATTGCATTTAACAACCCAGTGCTTATCCAATCTACACTTTTGGCTCAATCATCTTATATAAAGGTATGTGAAAACCCGTACATATCACACATTGTATTTGTGGCGTTGAGCAACTTTATACTACAGAACTTCGATAAAGAAAGAGAAAGGAGAAAGAAGAAAGAGAAAGAAGAAAGAAGAAAAAGAAAGAAAAAGAGGAAAGGCCAAGCATAAAGAGGCAATAAAAATAATAAAGAGCAAATTGGATTATTCAACCGAAAAAAAATATAATGATCAATTTTTATTGTTATATTTCTTCTATGCAATTTTAGATCTACACTTGTTTCACGCTACTTGGTTGTAGTAAATACTATTATAGTAATATAAATTATTAATTTTATAGTTTGCATATTTTTCTCGAAGTATAAATAGACTTGAAAAAGATTTTTTTTTTTTTCATAAATAAAACTTTGATTAAATTTTCATATTCGTGAAAATAATAATATAAGGATGTTAATAATAAATAATAATAATAATAATAATAATAATAATAATAATAATAATAATAATAATAATAATAGCAGCGATTATCTTGAATTAAATTCCAAATCTTCATCACCAAGTTCATCATCTTTCTTGTTATCCTCATCCTCGTCATCCTTGTCATCCTTATTAGAAGATTATGGCGATGACGATTATCTAAGAGGAAGAGATGATGATGATAGAATCAGTAATATAAAACACGAAGATGAAAAAATAATATCAAGTAATAATGTTATTAATAATGATGAAGATTCTTTTCCTTCAACAATAGCCGCTACAGTTAATAAGAGAAGAAGTAGTAGTGATAGTGGTAGCAGTAGCAGTAGTGGGAGAAGAAGAAATAGTCCGTGTTTATTATTAAAATTACCGTTTTTCCCTGTCAAAACACAATGTAAAAATTGTAAAAAAGTTGTAAGAACTAAGATTGATTATAAAAACGGAAGTTTTGTTTACCTATTATCACTGTGTTTATTTGTATTGACGATTGTCTTATTCTGGGTTCCGTTCTTCCTCGACCATTGCAAAGGTATTTATTTGTTTAATCTTTTTTTAATTTCATATGTGAAATCATTTGATTGAATTGAATTGAATTGAATTGAATTGAATTGAATTGTACTAATTTAAATTTCTTAACTATTGATTATTATTATAGATGTAATACATTCTTGTCCAAATTGTAAATACCAGCTTGGTAAACGACATAGATTATAATCTATTCATTATTTATTATTTATTACTCACAAAGAAAATCTTTAAAGATGTTATAAATTGGAAGCAAATAATTATATTAACATTAATATCAAATACATCAAATTTTAACAGCCGATTTTATGACGCTACAGTAAACAGGTTTATTTTGCAAAAAAAATTTTTTTTAAAAATGAAATTATTTATTATTTCAAGTCAAAATTAATTATGGCAAGCCATTTTACAATGCAGATCTTATTATAATATGGTATTACTTCCCCAATTTATTAATCATTAATTAATTAAACACTTTATGGCAACCGATGATACTAACGCTAGATCACCAACTGGTTTCTCAGTTTATATTCAGGGATTCGGGACCCGTATTTTGCTTACTAACATCAAGATTCGCATTTTGTCAGCACCAACCTTGTACTAAATTTAAATACACCCAATTTAATGTATAATGTATTTAAATTAAAATCCTCTTGGAAAATTATTGATCCATATTATATTGTAAACACATGCCGAGGTTCTATTAAGAAAATAAATTCATAATTGTAAATTTGAAATTTTTAATGAAATATATATATTAATAACTTTGGACGTAAATGATTCAATAAAAATTAGAATTAGGAATGTTAATATAAACACTATAAGGTTTACCCATAAGATCATTCACACTATGCTGTGTAAAATAATTTCATTGACTGCATCTTTTCAGGTTTGATGACAGATATATATATAAAACTACTTGTTTAAATAGTTTTTGTAACCACGTACGTCGCGCCTTTGCAAGTCATTGTAAGCGTACCTGGCATGTATCCAAGTATATATCAGATATAAATGTTGTGTTTAAAGGAAGAAATAAAGGATATTACACAAAAATTACTTGGAAAGGTATGAATTTTGTACTTCTAAAACCAGTCAAAAATACAATTGTTTAATTCTCTTCAATAATTTGTATGATCTATTTGTCTAGTATTGGAAAAAATTTTGCTCTGATTGAAGTAAAAGACGATCTCAAGCTGTTGCTGAATTATGTTGAGCAAAATCCATTCAACCAGTTCCTCGGTTACTTCTACCCGATTGCATGGATCGTTTGAGAATATTTTTTCATGTATATCTAAGCAAACTGTACATTAGACAACGCCTATCAATAATAAAAACAATTTGTTCATGCTCAATAAATAAAGGTGCTGATTTTGAGATCTTACTAGTCAATTTGTCTCCACCTTTCATATACCTGAAGAAGACGAGAAAATGGCGTGGATGGTTGATTAGATGACCCAAGAGGAGTTATTTAATTCTAGTATGAGAAAAGGATTGAACTTGGTAAAATATTTATTAAAGTTTTATAGAGTGACATGACATTGATAATTATCAATGAACTGGTTATACATGACATAATAATAAATTCACCTTTGAAAATAAAAATAAATTTGCTTTTACGATTTTAAAATTTAGTAAAGAATGATTGATTAATAGCTGTCTTGAGATTCATTGAATTTTTTGCACAAAAAAGAAAGTTAATTGCCTAATCAGTGAAAAAATATTGTCATAAAAAAAAGCTTCAATATCATGCCTGTTTTGTGGTAAAATTCATTATTAAAGATTAAAGGTTACTACCAATTCATCAGAAAATCCTATCTATATGATTGCTTTCATTGTCCAGTCTCCTTTCCGAAGCATATGTTTTTATCGACCTGAAATAATCATGCACGGATTTTTCAGCTTGTAATAGTAGTGTGATTTCTCTTGAATTGGGCATGCTTTGTGTGAGTATATCTAATTGAGACATATCTGGGTCAAGTATTACTTTGCAAATTATTTCTTTATTGGATTGTTAGAGTAATTTTCTTCTTATTGATGTTGACATTTTTTAATATATATGATCTATTTTATATATAATTAATTATCCAATTGTTTCATTAGTGGTAGGCATGAAGAGCATTAGCAGTTTGTTGGTGAATGATTTTTGTGTTAAATATGTAAATTCAATTTTATCGTATTATTAAAATTAGATGGAAAATTTTTTTAATAAGCAACAAAACCAGGAAAAGTAAACATAATTCCAAAGGATTCCACAAAGTTGGAATGGTCATTACTTGATTGCCAACTTAAACCAAAGTAAAATTGTCTTTGAGATATTGAAGCATGCTTATAATTATTATGATCACAACTTGTCGCGAAATATGGGATAATTATTAAAGTTTAGGAAAATCAGATATGATCTTTTAACTTTTAATCAGAAATAGTAATTTTATTTTTGCAGGAAATCTTATAATAAATATACGTTTTCTTCTTTGCTAAACAGTTTATTGAATTTATCTCGGGCGTTTCTTTTTTTTTGGTATATCCAGCAAAATAATTTCAATCAATTCTTTGACTTCTGCTCTCACTGTGCCAAATGAAAATTCGTTACGATCAACAGATAAACCTTTGTCATACCAAGTTTTTGGGTTCGTTCCTCATAGTCATTGCGCCATAGTAATAGATATCATCATTCTCCTTTTGTCTGTTTCTTTAATAAGTTCTCTCCACAAACAAACGATTAATAATAAAAATAAATAAAATGCAATATTGATGCAACTACTTGAATACTTATTGAACATACATAACTTAACTCGGCCAAGTTTGTGCTGCTTCCTGCTCCCACCGCAAATGTTTAATTTCAGTTATATGGACAATCCATCTCCTCGGCTTATTGATTGCAAAATCTACTCGACCATTCGAAAATGAACTATCTAGTGTATAGTGTTGTTGTAACTTTAGCGTCTCGTCATTCAAAGCTATATAGTACCACATAAAATCCATTCCACATATCCTGCTTATTCCACTTCTAGTATACTGAAAAATAATTTGTTTGTTTTAAAAAGATTCTTCAGAGAAATCATTACCTCGCCAAGTACTTTATCCACAAGTTCGTTATCAATTTTGGCCTTGGGAGCTTTTACAACGTAATGTATTGTTAGAATAAAGAAATTTGATGGCAAGTCTTCAAAAGTAATTGTTACCGCGGAGTTTGAACTTGAGTAGATCTTCAAATTTTTCTAGGTTATATTGTTATAGTGAGTGAGACGCTTGAATCCAAAACAGGGAATGAAGAGTTTGTCATTTTTGTGATAATAACATTTACAAATGCAAAACTTCAGTGTTTACATAAAAATTCAACTAATAAATTTTTCAACTATTTTATCAACTCTGCAATTACTGCTATTAGTTGAGAAGCTTGTCTTCTGTCAGCATCAGGGATTCTAGGCCAGAAAAATTTACAATTCTATTGTTTTTTGTCAATATCAATACTTTTTTCTTGTATTGTAAATATGTAATAACGTCTTTTTTTTTACTTCTTAGGGTCAATAGGAGGATCACTTAACAAAGACTCATCTTGATCATCTAACTTTATGAATTTAACTATTATCATTTGACTCTTTTATTTTGGTAAAATAGATATATTAAGCAGTTATCAATACTATCAATATTAATATATATTAAAAAAATATCAGAATACTCTTGAAAAAAAGATAAAACACTCAAAGGACTCTTTGAATTGAACATTTATAGTGTAAAAAAAAAAAAATAAGAAATTTTTTTTAAAATGTGGGCAGGAGCAAAAAATTACGAATTAATAATCAACTTCTTTGACCAAATGCCCGTAAGAGGTAGTTCGAATTGGTATTGATGTTAATCTAATACCAAGCGTGATACATCTATGAATATGTAATGATCAGACCTATAACTGACCAGCTGTATTTAAACATGGCATTATATGTGAAATGGATAAAATTCAATCATGGCCTCCATTCTAATTTGATAAGGAATGGACCTTTGCTACCATGATATAAAAATTATAAACTTTGTATATATTTAGAAACAGGATCCTTCCAGCATCTTTACTTTGCGACACATTCGCCAAAACCAAGCTACAAGTTGTTATAATTTTTTAGTGAGTTATTATATATATTTTTGCGCAGTCGACGAATTTAGAATGTCTGAAATTGTTGGGTCAAATGTAAACCGAAAAACTGAACCAAACCGTTCAGAGCTTTAATGTAGACACAATTTCAGTCAAATCGAGTGATCTAAAATATCATGGATAAAAAAAGGTACATGTAATAATGATATTATGTGAGTTGTGCCCATAAGTCAACCAATGATTTTCTCTTCAAAGGATCTATTCCCAACAAGCAAGTTAAATCAAATTTCTTGAAATTTATCTTGTGGAAAATCACTTATTTTCACTCCTTCCTTCCACTTGTGGTTTATAAATCTGAAGGGGATGTGTATGGTGCGATGCTTAATACATTATTTCCTGTCTTTTTTGTCTTGTTTTTCATAGTTGTGTTAGATTGAGTATATACTGTACACTTCGTGCAGCAAATATTGTACGAACCATTTTTAATAATGATAATTGTACTTACATGCCTTTTTTAGGTTGGGTATGTGGAATTTATAATCATACTTACTGTACTCAATCTCTAATTTTTTATGTTCGTACTATACTCACTGCACGAAGTGTACAGTACTCGACCTGCATATACCCTGTTTTTCAATATTTCAGGGAAAACTGGGCGCATCAAAAATGTGCTGTTGCCATTACTGAATGACATATTATATAACATAGTCACTTGGGTGATTCCGCCGATAGTTGCTTTAGCCTATGATGATTTGCTGAGAATAAAGATATTTTCATTTTGTAAACATGAGTTTGCATGTAGTTTGCGCAGTTGTCGCAATACTTAAATATAAAAAAGTTCAACAACTTAGTGGTGAAAAGCTGCCTATGGTTTTTGTTTGTCAATTTTTTCTTGTCATTTTTTCCAGCTATAGTCATTCCATACAACTAAACATTTTTTTGATCCAATTAATATAGTAAGTATTCCTTACATCATTTAGGATACTGTTAATTACAATGTTCATTGCTTTTATGCTATTTTGTCTCATGGTGTGTAATTCAAAGAGATTATATGAAATACTTAATTCGAATATTTTTCCTATATTATTTCTCAGATGTTTTTATCTCCCGAATATCCTGCAGACATTATTTATTGTGTTAAAATGGCAAGCAAATTTTTACTTTGTCAAAGAATGCGTGTTTATACTGGTCCTCTCTTTAACAAGAAATGTGTCCTTCTTTACACAGAAGGAACTAGCATCTGGTAACTTTCTGGCTACTTCAACAACATTCACTCAATGTGGTCTGCGCGAATACATAGATCAAGAATCAAATGAGTATGAAGAAAAAAATGATGATGAAAAAAATGATGAAAATGAAAAGGATAGAATAATTAGGGAAATGAAAGAAACAATAATGAAATTGTGTGAAAAGACGCAAATCGATATGCCACAATGGTGATTTTGTTGAAGTCAACGTCAATCTTTTTCTTTCTGTTATAAACATTTAAATAAACGATGTTTTTATTTTGATTGTAAAAGTTACTTATTTTTTGTATTTACAATTTCCCTTTTTTTATATAATAAACTATAAACTGTAAATTTATTTATGTATAGATTATACTTGGGCCGTTCAAACTATTATTTCTATTTTTAACACCAAATTTAAATGTCAATAAAAATTTTCCCTCAAGTATGAAAAGAATGACCTGCAATTTGAACATAGTGGATACACCCATTTAATGAATGCTCACTTGTAACATGAGATGGTGGTGGTTTTTTAATAATTGCTTGCATCACCATTGTATTTGATGCTGATGCTGTTTCATTAGGCAACTCGTCGTAATTCAAAATATATCATTATTGTAATATCATGACTTGATAGTAAATTTGACATGCTTTGCTTTTAGATGAATGCATTCACTTCTAGATCTCACCAAGCCAATTTATTACACTGTGTCAAGCTGAACCATTATTTTGAATTTCGACTTTTACCTGCATATCTTAAACTTTCTGGATTCATCGCACCTGATTTTTTTATTATACAAATACCATTTTCAGTGACAGTCACAAATGCAATATCAGTTGGTCAAAACAGAGAATCATACAAAAAAAAATTTTTTCGTAAATTTCAAATATTTTTTTTTGCAACGCGTAAATTTTAACTCAATGAAAATGATAAAGTTGATCTTATAACACACAAATAATTTATTCCATCAAAAAATAAAATATCATTTTCATAAATAAAAGCAGAGGCGAAAAAAAGAGGTAAAAAATCAATTAATATCATTTTTTCCATTCTTCAGATTTAATTGTCATGTTTCTTGTACCGTCAAAAGATTTTTCGTTAATAATTATAATTTTTTGAATAAAAATAGTCTTTTTCTTCCCATGATCCTTTCCAAACTTTTAACCCAACATATTAGAATACAGACACCAAAAAAAAACTTTAATAAAAATAAAAAATAGTCGAATTAATGATTGTGTTCCTCTTAAACAACCCATTGGGCATTCCTAGTATTTCTAATAATACTTTTCAAATTTTGCTAAAAATAATGGCCATGTTTAAATTAAACTAAATAGATTTATTTAACAGAATACACAAATTTTGCGATTTAAACCGTTAGTCCAATTGCTATTATTATTATTATTATTATTATTATTATTATTATTATTATTATTATTATTATTATTATTATTATTATTATTATTATTTGTTTATTGGAAATAATTTTAATTTTTTATTATTTATTCCAAGTTTTAATAACAATAATTATACTATTACATAACATCTAAACACTTTTTAATCATCATCTCTGTTATCTCTATCTCTACAATTTCTAATGCATCTAAATATGCGATTACAACTTCTATATCTAAATGTACATTTCCGTACACAACGTACACATCAATAACGACCATCACGACCGCCACGACCACCGCCCTGTTGATCTTTAACATTTTCACCATTATGATCATCTTCATTTAGTTCATTAGATGGCGATGATGAATCTTTCGATTCATTTTCAGCATTTCGCGCAATACAACTGCCAGAAGTGTTAGAAAGACAAGATCAATGATTTTCTTCGTCGCCTTCTTCATGATTTTGTCCTTCTAGATCGTCATCAAGATAAGAGGATAGGCTTTCTTTTTTAGTGTTAGTGGTTGTGGTAGCAATTGAAGAAGGAGAAGGAGCTAATGCATTTGTTAGACTTAAAGTTAACAAAACAACAAAAATCAATCGTACAATAATCATTTTTATTTATTGAAAAAATATTTTTTAGATAAATTATTATTTTTGTTTGTTTTTTTGATAGATTAGAAGAATATTTTTTTATTCTTTAAATAGATAAAAATTTACATAATTTGAAAGTTAATCAAATGCTTATGTTTATTAATTTTTCATTTATTCTTCTTTCTGATCATCATCAGTTAAAAAACATTTGATTGGCTTTTTAATTAATTTTTTGATTAAAATTTTTCAACGATTCAAACCAACTGTGTTTCGAACCAAATATATTACATGAACAAAAGTCGCAGACATCTTTACACAAAAACGCAGATATTAAAATGATATCATTTTGTAGGCTCCTCTTTCTCTATTATTTATATTAAACTTTGGCCGAAATTTCTTTGGCAAAGTATTTCTCGCTTGAGAAAAAAAAATCAATTGCTCAAAAGCATAGATTTTTAATAAAATTTTGAACAAATTCTTCGAAATTTTTTAAGCTCATAATGTAATTTAACTGAAAGTCCCTGTGGCAAAATCATCAGTCTTTATAAAAAAATGTACCGTTACTACACTGAAAATTTTTACTATAAAGACAACGAATATTCGATTTTTATGGTCTATCAGAACGTTCGATTCGACAGGCAGGCTATAATATTAATAAAGTTTACTTCAGCTTGTTTGATAGGGCTTTGATTCTTTAGTTTTAAATAGTAAGCGGTTTGCTTGCTATTTTAAATTCTTTCGTAATTCCATTTAATGCTTAACTCTTTCCCAGGAATTGTTAATAAGGACTGACTATTTACTTGATGGAGTAATTTAGTAACGTTATTTTCTCTAGTGTCGTTGGTTAATTAGTGAGTATTAACAACGGTCAGTGAATTATTGTCAATTGGAAACATTGGTGTGTTATTTAATCATAAACGCAAGGCTGTTTAGCTTGTTTTGTAAGTTTGAATCAGCCAAATATATATAAACAAGAGCAAATAATTGAAATAAATTGGTCACAAGTAAATAAAGGAACTTTACAGAAGCCTTTGAGTTTTGTAAAAGAGCCATATCTGTTTATTTACATTTATCTGGTACCATTAATTTTGCTCACAGGTTCGTTGAAATTTTCTAGGTACAAGGAAGAGGCAATAAGCGAGAACCAAAGTAAATTCATAAACTAATTAATTGACAAATACCGAGTCAATTGACGAGCGTAGCCCAAAAGTCAAACCATAATCGGCTATACTTGTTAAATGGTAGGATTAATTGTTCTAATTTGTCATTTTTTACCATAACTTTTATTTCAATTA